TTTTTTTTTAATTTGATGTTATTAATACATTCACTAATTAATATAAAATTATTGTTTTTTATTTATTTTTTATGATGCTCTTCTTAGAATTATTAATATTTTTATTTTAACATAGATGATATATATATATATATATATATATATATATATATATATATATATATATATATATATATATATATATATATATTGACTTGAGTGAACTTCCTTTCTTATTTCATACTCAATACAAAAGATCTATGTTATCTCTAATTTGAAATGTATTTATAATTTATTTTTATATGAGAACAAATGAGAGAGCACTGGTAAATATTGTATTGAATTTTAAGTTATTTTTAGTTGGATAGTTTGAAAAAATTAGTAGTTTTTAATAACTTATTGATACATGTATTTTAAAAAAATCATATTGTTTAAATTTTGTAAAGTCTATATTTTAGTAGATTTTTATGTGTTATATTACATTAAGAAATTTAGTTTCTTATTTGATACTCCATATAAAGATTATGTATTACCTTTAATCGAAATTGTACCTTTGCAAATAAGAGGAGGTAGTATTCTAAATCGTTGAGTTAAATTGTTTATTTAGATAATTTAAAAGGATTAATGATTTTTCATTACTCAATAGTACATTGATATATGCACATTTGAATAAACATTTCACATGTTCATAAAATTTTAATTGATTACATTTTGTATTGATTTTTCGGTATATATGGAATGAAGTTAAATGAATTCAACATCTATATGAACATAAGAGAAGAGTGAAAAGAATTATACAAATTATGCATAGTAATGTTGATTGTAATTTAGTAAGATAAAGTTTAACTTATTTATCATTATCATCACAACAAAATTTCTTCTTCCTTCTGAATAAAATATTGTGTACTCTTGATTCTCAAATTAAAGAGAATAATCACATGCTCTAAAATTGTGTCCAATGCTCAACAACTTTTCATCTAATTTTAACACAAAAAGTATCATGACTCACCTTACCTCCTTATCTTGTTGTAAATCCAATGTTGTCTTTGTCTTCTACTTCAATTAATATACTCTCTATTACCTAATGAAAAAATTATACATACATAGACTTCACTATCTCTATATGATTGTTGTCCAAATAGCATACAATCTTATATTCTTGAGTTGTCTTTCAAAAAGCAAACAAGTTATCTTTATCATTATCTACTTCAACAATTAAATTTTACTACTAATTGCCAAAGAAAAAATATCCTTTTAAACATGTCCAGGCCTTTTGCTGCTATTATATTGTAGTTTATCTTTATTTCAATACTTTTTTTTCTTCAATGTTGTTCTTCGTACAAATTTCACACATTATTTTAATCCTCAATTATTTCCTTTTTGTCTATAATAGTCGCTTATCCTTTTTGTCACCATTTCTCAGAAGGTTATTCTCATAGTTTCATTTTCCATTTTGGAGTTTGATATATAGACATAGTAACTAATAGAATAAAACATTTGAAATCAAATTATAGAAAGTGATTTGCATATCAAATAATCAATTCAATGTGTAGTCACGAGCTGAAACACAATATTAGTTTTTTAAATACAGCAAGACCTTTTATGGCGTGTATGGCCACCCGTGAGACATATTAGACCATAAAGTCTTGGAAATTGGGAAACAAAGTCACTTTCAAGCCAACTAATAAGAGTTCCTTAATTAGCTCTGTAAAACACGAACAACGTCTTCCATGAATTCCACACATCATACACTTTGTACTAGTTTTTAATATTTTCAAGAAATATATACAAGAGCTACCAAAGAACAGCAACCACCCAGTTAAAGATTGGTAGTTGGTAGTTGCTATCTCAGCATGAATATTGAACTACTCTTAAAACCTAAGTCTTTCATATGAAAACACCCACTCAATGATCAGCTAGTTACAAGATCATTTCATGAAATAACTAAGGTCTTCTTCTGATAAACTTCTTAAATAAAACTTACGAAGATGAAGTGGAGCAAATATACTTGAGCAGCTCATATTCCATTAAGAGTGACCACAACCGTACGCGGTGTAGGATAATCTCGATGTTCACAAAGCCATATACCCTTAAGCATAAAGAAAAATAAATTATGTTTTATTAATAACATAAAACACATTAATTGATGAAATATTTGGTCAGATTAGAAGAAAGTGGGAAGAAAAAACATGAGAACCAGTTTAGTACTATAGTATTGAGCAGGATATAGCTAATTTTTTTACCTGCCAGGTCCCCATATTAAGCTTTCCATTTGTAATTGGTATCCTGAAACCACATTATATATCATTGAAATGCAACTGCTGATATATTTTTGTAGCATAATGAATCAATTCAAAGAATATATATAAAATATATCTTACGTGAGTGCACAACCAAACATCGATGATTTTATGTGTGCCGGCATGTCATCTGGTCCTGCAAAATATGTATGTGCAAACTGTTGAAGTTAACACTTGTTTAACATTCCATACTTCAGTTAGTCCGTCAACAATCAAATATTATCATCTTACTTTAAATTATATTAATATCATGTTCAATAATTTCATATTTATTAGAAGTCGAAGCTTTATTTTTAAAAATGAAAAAGAAATATTTAAACTATTTATGTTTCGAAACATAAGTAAGACGAAACTATTAGACATTATAAAAACACGATATTAATTTATATTTGAATACATTAATTAAATTTTTTATAAATCTTTCAGGTTTTAAGATATTTTTTATTCTTACTAAGGGCATCCTAACAATTATCATAGAGTTATATTATCCCTTAGTACAGTAGTGAAAAAAAAAAAAACTAACCCTCTAAAGTGTGCTTCCATGGCGCAGATGGGCCCTGCAAAGTATATATACATTTGAAAATTCAATTCAAGGCCCTTTTTAGATTAAAATAAATTTATATAAATATTAATATAAGAACTAAGCAGAAAACGAACCTCTGGAACTATCTGATTGAGGAATGTTTCTGTGTCATCTCGAACATCATAGTCATAATTTTCATTGATGGTGAGAGAAGCACTAGTGTGATGCACTATATGTGTAGTTAGGAGTTCATTCTATCAAGCCCAAATTGGATTCAACATCATAACAATTCAAAGGATATTTGTTTTTGCACCCATATTTCTCCATTTGCACCCTCATAAATATGAAATTCCTTACTTTTTTTCTTAAAAAATATATTTTTATACAACACATAGATAAGGGTGAGAAGACGGCAAGAGGGCTACGACGACAAGGAGTGTCAGTACCATTGGGGTGCAAAACGAAATTATAGAGGTGCAAAAAGAAATTATAGGGGTGGAAAACGAAATAACGGAATATAAAAGGACCAATAAATGAATTTACTTACAGAAGAGATGGGCTAGGCCACACTTGAATCCAGACAATTCTAGCCCAACTTCTTTCAAAATCTGAGCCGATGGCTATTCTTGGTTTAATAAAATCAACTATTTGAAAGCAATTATATGTAATAAACAACAGACTATATTCACGCAATAAATTAGAATTAAAAGGAAAAATTGTAATATCTTCCTTTTAAATGATTTTAATTTTTTTCACTATTAGTCTATTAATTTTAGAAAATTCATTTTATTCAAGCTCTATGAACTTTTAAATTAATTTTTATGAAATTTTAAGTGGGTATATGAGGTGTATGGTTCAATTTAGTAAGAGTAAAACAAACAAAAAATTGTGTATGAAAAGACTTGAATAATAATTTAAGTTTGTATGAGAAAAAAAGAGAGATTAAAATTGTAGATTAGTCTATCAGTAAAATAAAAAGAATTGCAAAACTTTAGGACATTAATTGCATGTTCCATTAAAAGAATTGAAATCACCTCTCTAGAATATTAAAAATCATGATAGATTGAAAAATAACATGTTACATGACCCAGCACATAACATGAGAAATAGTTTTCAAAAACTGTAACTGCCAGATGACCAACTTGTTAAGGACTTGGCTTTTAACTTTACTAAAAAACTAAGTTAAAAGGACTATATAATATTAACCCAAAACAACCAAGATTTATGACACTAATAAAAGATTGTCCACTTGAAATATATGAGTTTAAACCAAAGATATATTAACTTAATATATAAAAAATAAAGAATATTAATCATTTAAAGAGTTAAGAAGGAAGCTTATAAGATAAGATAAACCTTTGATCCTTAGACCAAAGAACTCCCCCTGATGCTCTAACTTGAAAACTTGACATGATACTAAGGTTTTTTGCTGAAACAAAAACATATACATGGGATCTACAAAGAAGGGATGTACAAACAAGTTAAAGAATTGACTCACCTTAGAAGTTACTAGATGACACCCACGTTTAAGGGGAGGCAATGTTATTGTCTTTTGAGACCACTTAGGAGCAGCTATGGAAGTAGGGTCGTTTATGGTTGCTGGGTTTGTTTGCAGTGACTTCACGCGAACGGGAACCTTAGCTGCTAAACAGATTGAAGAGACTTGCATCATTAATTCTAGTTGAAATGGAAACTAAGTGCTCAAATTAGTCTCATTATTGAGCCATGAAATCAGCCCTTTACTATATATGGTAGAATCTGTGATATAAGACAGACACTGGTTGCGATTGTGTGCTGTAAGATAATGGTGCACTTTTGACCACAAATCTATGTATAGATTTGCTGCCAGAAACCAATGGTTATGGTTGGTTGGTTCGTTGGTTGCTATTAGACCAGTTTTTGTTTGTTTATAAATAGGGTTAAATATGTTTTTAGTCCCTAAACTATTGGCCGTTTCTGATTTTCGTCCCTCTTCTAAAGTAAGGTACGATTTGGTCTTCATTCTTTAGAAAAACGTTCGTTTTAGTCCTCAAAACGTTCGTTTTTTCGACTAAAACGAACGTTTTTTAAAGATTGAGGACCAAATCGTACCTTAGTTTGGAAGAGGGACGAAAATCATCAGAAACGGTCAATAGTTTAGGGACTAAAAACATATTTAACCCTTATAAATATAAATCTTTATCAGTATAGTTTTAGAAACTATACTATTGTTTGAAAATGTTTTGAAGAGTTATTTTCACTCAAATAAGTTAGATGTTTTGTTTTGTGATAATTAACATTTAATTTTATTATTATTATTATTATTATTATTATTGTGATCCTTAATTTTAAATTTAATTTAGTCTGATATTAAAATCTCAATCCATCGCGTCAAAATTGGAATTATTTTGATTATTTAGATATTCTAAAAGTATTGTAATTCCAAACAAATCTTAATAACATCCAACATACGTAGATTACTCTTTCGACTTGCTCAATTAAATATTTTTAATATATATTTTTTCATCTTTTTTTAATATACTACCTCCACAAATAGGAAAGAAAATTATTTATTTATATCAGTTGTCTAAAGTCCTTTTCCTTTTGAGGTTTAGATAGTAGTGAACTAGTGCCATTACAAATTGTTTGACTATTTTTTTGTTTAACTATTTTAAAAATTATGAATACTATCTTTGAAATATACATATCAAAATAATGATAATAAAATTAAATTTAATATTTTAAAAATGAGTGTAGATGAACTGAGAAGAGAGTGTCCCGGTCACTCAGTGAAGCAATGGCAGCGACAATTCCTTTCTCTCTGCTGAGGTACGCTTTCTCTTTCGTTTTCATCTTCTCTCACTTCCGTCTAATTTCTTTGGTTTCTCTTCGAATTCGTTGCAGGAACTGCTCGCCATTGAAACTGGCAACACCTTTCGCTCGCAGAGGCTCCAACTTTAATCTTCTTCTCCCTCTTCAACCACGCAGGTTTCTGTTTCTCTCCTCGCTTTTCTGATCGTTTAACCACTTTTTGTCTTAATTTCTGGAACTGAGCAAAAGTTTAGCGCTGATTGAACTTTCAATTTTTGTAATTATCTACTTCTCATTTACCCATCGCAAATTATAGTTTGCAATTTTTTTCAACTGTTATTAGAGAATGCGTGTTAGAGAGAGTGTGACTGCATTACTCATTTATGAAAATAGGAATTAGAATTTTAATTTTTTTTTTGTCAAACTGAACCATTAGAAGAAGGCCTCCGGACCCAATTGTTGTTATAAATTGACTAGCCTCTTACGGATCTCTTTTGTAGAGTTCGTACCGAGGGCCATAAGTTTGATACCGATGTCTTATAAATTCTTCCCATGGAAGAATATTTACATGACATAAAGTTGAATACCCTAAGTAATAAAATCCTGAGTCACAGAATAAAAAAGATATTCTTTTGTCTTGAAAACATTTATTTCTGCTAATAACTGAATAAAAATTTATTAAAAGTGAGGGTCTTACAAAACTTTGCGGTGGAATAAGAATTGCTTGGAGATCTTAGATATGATATAGCATAGCGAGATGCACAAAAGGAGAATCAAGACATAGAGATGAGTTTCGCAATGAAGATAAAATATGTGGGGTGGGATAAAATATTTGATGTGATACTTACGGGCTGAGACTCTCCCACCTTTTGGATTAGTTATTTGTGTTGGACTCTGCTCTTGTACCTAAGTCTTGACAGTTGTTTTAAAGGATTTATATATGTTATGATTGGCATTGTTACAAATGTTTGGGATTCATCTGCTATTAGTCATAGTTAAAATCTAGTGTTTCTGTTGATTTGAAATATACATGTTTGATTTTCATCTTATTCGAAATTTTGATTTACCCTTATTTGGAGTAAGTAGAGACTGTACCCTAGCTATGGACTTGCTCTGTGATCTATAGATGTTTTTTGACATCTTGCTTAGTTGTTACAGGTTGGGCTTTAGTACTCATGCCACGAACAATGAAGAGGCCGCAGCAAAAGCAGCTGCTGTTAATTTTGACAGTGAAGCTCCTACAATGTAACAGCCTTTTCACCTGTAGCATGATTTTATTTATTTATTTTTTATTATAGTTTTCTTCTAATTCATGGATGTCTAGTTATATTGTCATGATTATTGATTAAACTAAAATACATCGGAATGCAAATTTCACTGCATGATATCAATTTTCCAAAAAGATTCCACCAATATTGAATTTTATCCTTTTGTCTCACTCTAAGAATGATGTTAAAGATGACATTGGTTTTACATTGAAGGAGTTCACTGAGATGTAAAGATTTTAAGTCTCTACAGGTTTCCCTTGCAAATGATAACTGTGATAGTCAATATGAATATTTGGGACTGGTAAATATAATCCGTGTAGTATGGCTGGAACCCTTTTGGACTTCATACTATATGCAAGATCTGTATTTCTTGATATTTATGGATTCACCGGCACACACATGCACAGATGCATGCAAACTTATAATTCCTTAATCTTTTTGTTGTGTTTTTTGTCCTTGTTAATATTGTGATCTCCATTTCCTTTCCAGATTCGATAAGATCATAAATAAGGAAATACCTTCAAGTATTGTATACGAGGATGAAAAGGTTCTAGCATTTCGAGATATTAATCCGCAGGCTCCAGTTCATGTTCTAGTCATTCCAAAATTTAGAGATGGATTAACACAACTCGGAAAGGTCAATAATCGCCCTTTTTATACGTGTACACTGACAACAAGTTGTACATGATTCTTCTTTTTAGTGATTCTTTCGCTTTTACCCCTATTCTAGATACTAACATCAAGAAAAAATACAACGATTTATTATGTATATAACTTCCTGTATAATATTTAGGTGAATAGCTTTTTGGAAAAAGTCTAATTTCTCATGAAGGTTTGTTAACTGAAATTGTTATGCCTATTAAGATGTTTTTGTGGAGCCCAGCAAGTGGAAGATAAGAAGGATCATTGAAAATAGCAGAATATATAACTTGTCAGTGAGGTCCCTAAGGAAACAAGTCTTGATGAATAGAAATTCAGTAATTTTACATGCTTATCTAAGAGGAAGATCAATATGAATTTAAACAGAACAAAAATACCGATTTCAGGTACTCTGAATATGTTGGTTTTGAATTTGTGAAGTATCTTATCCATAATAACCAGAGTACATTATTTTCGTTTTCGTCTCATGGTAGTCTAATTTTGAATATATTTTGACATTATAGAGCCCCAAAAAGTTACATTTTGATTATAATTTTCTTATCTTCAATCTTTAATTAATATTGCTTTATAGCTGGTTCTCGGATTTTTTGTTAATTTTAATCATTGAGTTATTTGGATGTCTCGTTAGATAGCAACATTACACTGTTTTGTTTTATGATCTGATTTGACAATTTTAAAGAACCTCTAGTGTTTATATGCCAAAAGAGGAGCACATATTTCTTTAAGGCCACTCCATCACTGTAGGATATTTTCCGATCTCTCTGTTTGCAGCAAGGAAAAGATGAGCTCTTTTTACGTGATATAAAAATCTTCTTTTGCAGGCTGATAGTAGACATGGGGAAATATTGGGTCAACTTCTGTATGCTGCAAAAATAGTAGCTGAGAAAGAAGGTATCGTTGATGGATTTCGTGTTGTCATCAACAATGGTCCGAGTGCCTGTAAGCTTGTTTCTGGTCAACAATTTGCTGGATTTTTTTTACTTGCTTATAGTAGTGCAGCAACCTACTAACTTTATCTTCTCATACTCTTTTATTTTGTTAGGTCAATCAGTGTATCATCTGCACTTGCATGTATTAGGTGGGAGACAGATGAATTGGCCACCAGGTTGAATTCTTGTAAATTATAACTTGAAAATTTCTGATGAATCCCATGGATATTTCTCCTCCAAGAGCTGTAATTTTGTGACCTACGTATAAATAATATAGGAACAAGTAATCCTACAGTTTTTGGTTAAATGATTGTTCAGCGGAAGCTTATATGTAATTATTAGATAGAAATGGTGAAATGTTCGTTAATTTTTACTAGGAAAACCTAATATTTTTATGTCTCGAATAATAATATTAGGTAGAATATTTGGCCATCTTGCCGCCGAATGGATTTTATTGTCATAACTTCCATCAACTTTTCATGATTTTTTACTGTGATTGATTAATTCTGTGGTAAGCAAAGTAGACTATTCGGTTGCAATGGAAGAAAACACTTCTCGCATATTTTAGTCTATGATTTAATCTTATTTTGATGTAAGAAACTGTCACATACGATTTTAAGTTAAAAATATTTTTGGTGCTGTACATGTCACATTAACTTCTAAAAAAATGGGTTTTAATTTCTATATTTGTAATTTTTTTTGTTCCTATTATTCCATGTTATCAAATACTGATATTAACATGAAGTTATTATTATGAAGTGTAAAAATCGTTTAAAAATTTATTCTTAAACATGATTTTGGCTTAGGAAATTTGAGAGATGATCCTTCATAAATTTGTAACTACAATTTGTTATCAACATTAAGGCATTTCCAAATTGTTATTCATTCTTAAGATTCCATAATTGCAACTTCTGAAAAACATGAACTTTATATTTGAAGAAATAAGTGCTCTATTTAGGAGATTAATTATAAGGTTTACATGTTTCCATATATATATATATATATATATATATAT